GAATTGATATTGTTTTCAGAAAAAGTATTTCAAATACAAATATTAGAAGTATTTTGTATTTTAATCACAAATAAACGAAGAAGCAAGTATCATTGCCACAAGTACAGTTTAACTTTCATGTCGCTCTTTCTTTATTACTACGTAATGTGTTTATTATTTATAATTCTGCTGTAAAACTTTAACAAGAGAGAATTTATAAAAAATTGTACATTTTCACATTCACGTATGTTCAGATGAGTAAAAAAGTTCCGAAAATCTGGTGCGGTGCGTGCATCACACAACTTTCACTTACCATCCTCTTCTTAGCAGAAATAAGTATTTTCAGAAAAAGGGGAAGTGAAAGTACAAATTATAGACTCTATATTTATTTATATTTCATTGTGGGTATTTTTATTTGTATAAGTACCCATGCATATACAAATATTAATATTTATATCGCTGTAATCTATTCAATTAAATATACCAAATAAATAATACCAACAATAGCATTTATGACATATGTATATTTATATAATATTGTCGGAGTCCGTATTATATTAAGCTCATGCTACCTATGAAAGCGCGTTCTAATCTTTCGGGCGAGCTCGGGTGCGTTCGTATTCCTTTGGTTCCTCGATTACAACTATTCTCCGTAACCATCTCTTATTTATCCTTTAGTTAATTATCAAATTCTTTCATATTTCATATTTATCTATCTTTTATATCATAGATTAATGTGTAATGGTCAATTGTTAAAAAAAGAAATATATTAAAGTTACTTTAGGGAAACCTAATATTGAACATTAGCCATTTCAACCTTGTTAGAGAACATCAATCAGAATAAAAACTATATTTTATTTAAAACAGTTTAATTTTACACTAATATGATGAATTTAATCAAAATCATAAGAGCCGTTTTCGAGAAAATCGTAAAAATGTGTTTAGTCCAGTATGTAAAGTGCTACTTCCGGTTACTCGATTTAGACGAAAAAGTTGTTGTAATATCTCTAGTATATAAAAATCTTAAATATGCAGTTTCACTTTCGGACGACTTTTTCTTTTTGAGCTAGACTATTAACACTCACACAGACCATTTTGTGGGACTTAGTTATTTGGACTCAGGGTACCTCAAAATACGGGCAGATCTACGGGGAGGGGGTTTAGCTAAAGCCCCCCCCCAAAATGGTAAAATATAGCCATGTTTTATCGAAAAAAATATAATAAAAGTATCTCTTAAAGTATTATTGTTTGTGCAATTACATTTAAAGGGGCTTTAGGAATCCCTTAAACACCATTTCATACAGGTAGTTAGTTTCTTTCATATTTTCCAAAGTAATTATCGTTATTTTTATGAAAAAAACCGCTTTCAGGCTGAAGCCCTCCCCAAAATTAAATCCTGGATCCGCTAGTGCCTCAAAACGTCTATTTCCGTTGAGAACTGATACACCGTCGGCCAGACCTCCCTACCTTGCATCCCTCCCCACATCCCTATAAATTGCATATTGTTGAGTTCCTTGTAACTATTTATTAAAAAAAAGCCAATGTTCCCAGAAAAAAAAGTGAACGCCAAACATGGCGGACTGACGACTTTGACTTTAGTTAGTTTTTTGCTAACTGAGAATCAGCATTTGGCTTAATTTCGTCATAGTTAGTCTTTTATTAAAGCGGGATAGTCAGAAAATAATAAAATATGAAAACAAATATTAAAAAATAATAGGCTTTGGCAATAACAACACCAGTAAAGTCAATTTTTAAAAAAAGTTGAAAATCAAACGTCGTTTGTAATCAAATGGCCAAAGCTAACGCAAAACGTGAAGGAATAAAACATTTAGAGAATATATTCCTATTTCTAAAACACTGTTTACTTTTTAAAATATTTGTAGCAGTTCCGTAGAAAATGCACTTCAGCGGAAGAAAAGCGGTACTGGCGTAGGTGCCTACAGGCCTCAACCACACCATTCAGTACTCATAAATGGCTTAGTTATAGTGCTATAATAACGTTTTTGATACTTTATATTGACTGTATTAACGAACAAATATTAATTCAATAATATAATTGTTCAAAAAAATTAAACAATTTTTTTAAAAATTTATTATTTTATTTATTTATTTGATTTAATCTATATTATTCTATACGGAGGTCGTTTAAGTAGGCCTCTATTGTAAAAATGATATAATTGTAATAATAAAACTTAATTCAAAAATACTTTGCTGAATATCTTGATTTTTTTTAATTTAACGTTTGCAATTTAACACTTCTTTTTGTCTCTGATTTGACCGGAATCTGATTATGATTGAAATCGGATATTAATCTGAGTTTTTTTCTAAGAGAACTCATTTCTAAGCTGCAGGGCCATTTATAGTAATCTTTCTCAGATTTTGACAATGTCGGTAAAAATTAGCGTCCATTGGCCGTGGCTATCGACAGTATCATTTAATAAAATGATTTTTATTTTTTAAGTTTAGGTACTCGTTCGACCCACAATTTGCCGTTCCTTAATTTATTAAAGAATAGGTTTTTCGCTTTGATGCACTGTTTAGTAGTAATACGTGACAAAAAAAGATAAGACAAATCTGGATTTTCTGGCTGTAAAATGCTTTCTCTTGGTGACCCGTGTTAGCAATTAAGTTTTTTACTACCTCTCTAACCGCTCCTATCGAGTTCGCAGGGGAACAGAATTTTCCAATATCTATCCCGTCAAGCCAGTGTTCCCTAAGGCAGCATATTGGGTCCCGTGCTTTACATCCTCTTTACTGCTGACATCTCTGTTCATCCTAATACCTTCCTTGTAACCTTCGCTGACGACACCGCAATATTATTATCCAACTCTGATCCCTTATATATAGCATAGCATCTTTAAATCTTCAAAGGCACCTCTCCTTGAATGAGCATTGGTGTAATAACTGGTGCATTAAAGTTAATGAATCCAACTCCACCGACGATATAGCTAACTTTACAGACTACTAAACAGAAAATCTAAATTTTCTAATGAAAACAAATTACTTATCTACAAGACAATCCTGAAACCTATGTGGACATACGGGCTTGAACTGTGGGGGACAGCAAAATTTTCTAACATCAAACGCATTCCATCCTCTCAATCTTAAGTCCTTCGAACAATAGTTGATACTCCATTCTATGTAACTAACAAAACCCTTCATCATGACCTTAATATCCCATTTGTCCTAGACCTTATCCCAGAAAGATTCTCCAAATTCCTATCCAGCACCACTCATCCTTACAATCGTCCCCTCGACGTTTGAGCCAACTTTTGTAGTTCGTATAAATTGGAGTTCTGGCAATGGCCAGATTCACCACTCAAGACATAAGTGTATGTGGCTAAAGCGCTCTCGATCGATCTCCACTGGCTTTAGTACCAGTGAAGCGGTTGGGAGAGAGTCCTACTTTTCCCTCCATAGTTGGAGGGACAAGCCTGCCTCTGAGTTCCCTCGCCTGATTGTAAATAGTGTATATAGGTATGTATGTATTTTTTTTTTATAATTTATTTATCTTGAAGTTATTTTATTTTATTTATTGTACATAATTTTTTTATTATTATTTAGTTTTTTTTATTTCATTTATTTTATTCCTTCTGTTTATTTCATTTGGTTTGTACATATTGTTTGAATGTCATCTTACCTTCCTATAATTAAAGTCTATGTGACAGTTTCTTATATTTTCCAATAAATAAATAATAAAAAAAAAATTATTTTACTAATTTCATCTCGGTAGCCGTGGTTTATACGTTTTTTTGTTTTGTTTTTTTCTTTGTTCTTATCTACTTTACCTTTTAGGCTATACTAGATTTTTCCTGGCGGAGAAATTAAAATTCCCTCCGGCACTGGGACGCGAACTCGTACCTTTTCTGATCTCATAACTGGATCCGCCCTTTACTGTAACTGAGACAACTGAGGTTTATATCATTGTATAAACCATTTATAGATCATTTACGTAATAATTAAAGATCATAATACGTAAGAAATTTAGGTCATCTGCCCCACTGTGGGTGGAAGAGATGAATTATTGCTCTTCCAAACAATCTAAATAACATTTAGATCTTACACCTTTATAGAATAGATAAATAAAATCTTCTCAACATATTTTATATCTCCACTTTTAATTTGTTTACCGAGGAGGAGATGGGGGAGTCTGGTTGTGTCATTTCTTGAAGGATACAGGTTCCTAAATCCTTCCTAATTTTCTTATTGGATAAATGGAGCCATGCTGAGGTTATCACAATTTTTGTTATTTAAAAAATAAAAGAGATAGCTTGACGAAAATTTTGAACAAAAAGTTTTTATTTTCCGATTTATATGAAATTTCGTATTTAAGAGTTTTTCGAGATGCCAGATAACTTCGGAAAATCCATAAATACGAAATTTCATAGGACTTTTATTTGGAATAGGAGCTGAAATTGACAACGATATAGGGATAAGATGAAATAAAATTATCAGAATTTTGTTATTTTACTGTTGGTTTATAAAAGTTATTTTTAAACTTATTTTTTGACCCGTTATATACAAATCAATTAGTTACCAGTTTCTATCCCAAATTCTATTTGCGATAACAAGTTATGCGTAGATAAATAGTAAAAAGTAGTAAATTAATTAGTACGAAAATTACTGGTATATTAATAACAAACATTAGGAATTACTTGAGATAAGAATAAATTTCGAAAAAATTACCCTGACTTATTTCTAAAAGGGTATTTTGATCTCTTTTAAAATGACAATAATCCACACTAAAAATAATAATGCAGACTATAAATTAAATTCACGGTTTTAATGATGTTTATGTTTGGTAATTAAAAACGGTTTTGGTCTAAATAAAGAAAAAAAAAATCTGGAGAACTGGGTTAAAATAAATACTTTGTGTGTTATATATCGGGTTTTTCAAATGAAATAAATGACTTATATTTTTAGTTAAATTTTAATTGAATGATGTTATGTCAGAAAAGATAAAATTATGTTGCATTAACATAAAATACACTTATGAATAAAAGATCTACTGGTTCACTAACTTGGAGATCTATCTTATCAAATTCTCTCATCAGCTGGCGATATAGAAGATTCCTGCGTGTAATGTCATCATCTGGAGGTAACTGCTTTCGCACCATTCTTGGGTTGACTCTGTATACCAAAACCAAAACTCGCTCTGCCACCTGAAATAAAATATAAACCAACAGTTTTAAAAGTTTTCCTGGTAGAAGGAGTTATAGACAATAGATATTTTCCAAGGATCAGGGAAATATGTGGATCGGAGTACAGCATTATATATGAAAGTAAGGAATAGAATGGCTTTTCGAGGAAGAAGTTTCAAGATCTGGGATGTTATTAGGTCATGTCCAGGAGCTTTGCGGGAGTGTAATCTGTGAATGATGTTGGATATTTCTGTGGGATGAAATACTTTAGGTGGAAGGGACATTTGGAGAGGAGTATCCAGTTCTGATTCAATACATTCGATGTGGGTTGGATTAAGGATATCAGGATGTGGGTTGAAAATTTTGAAGAGATGTTAAACGCATATTTGGGCTTTTTCTTCGTCGGATTTGGACTAGGTTTGGGATTCAGACATACCAGACTTAAAAGACAAGAACTTAATCGACGATTTGGCCAGTTATACTGACTACTTAACAGAAAATTTAACCTCTCAATTGAAAATAAACTATTAATATACAAGACCATACTGAAACCCATCTGGACTTACGGACTTGAACTGTGGGTAACAACTAAATTTTCGAACATCAAACACATCCAACCTTTTCAGTCTAAAATCCTCCGTAGAATAGTCAATGCTCCTTATTATGTTACGAACAAAACCTATAATCACGACCTTAACATCCCTTATGTCGTTGACGTTATTCCACCCCGATTCTCCAATTTTTATCAGAACCTAATCCATCATCCTAATCCCTTAGCACAATCCTAATCTAGTTGCAGTCATCCCTACAATCCTCCTAGAAGGTTGAAACGGCAGTGGCCTCGAGATCTTTTGTATATACGTTACTGGAGTCCTGGCAATGGCCAGCTTCTCCACAAAAGTCATGAATGTATGTGGCTTTAGTGCCCTGTCTTAGTCTCCACTGGATTCCCAGTGATGCGGCTGAGAGAAAGAGGCGCTGGGATCTCTTGGAGTCTTGCCTTTTCCTCCACACACGAGGGAAAGGGCCCGACTCGGAGCACCCTCAGCTGACTGTAAATATTGTAAATAAGTATGAATGTGTTTTTAATTTATTTTTAATATATTTACTGTTATTTCATGTTTGATTTATTCTGTTATTCTACGTTTTCTTTTCTTTTCTTTTGTTATAACTTTCTATTGTTTTTATTTTATCGTATAAATGGTATGGTTGTTTTATACACCCCAATACTGAATGCACTTAATTGAGACAAAATGTTTTTTTGCCAAAAGTTATGCTGTTGGTGTAATAGGGGCATTCCTCAAAAATATGGCTGACAGTGAAAGGGCTATTGCAATATTGGCATGTTGGAGGTGGTTGTTTATTGATAAGGTAGATGGGGAATGGAATAGGTACTTAAAGATGAGAGATTTAAAAGGGGAGGCTGACTTGAGTGTCGAATATCGGAAGGGAAAGAATTCCAGAGAGAGACGGCTTGAATTATAAAGGATTTCTCAAACGCAGTAGTTGGTGAGGAGGAGAAATGAGGTCGGACTTACGGTATCTCGTGGGAGGGATTGAATGGAGGACTTAGGTTCTGTGGAATATAGGAGGGTCGCTGTGATCTAATCACTTGGCATAGGAAGGTATCAAGGAAGTACTGACGGCACACATTGGTTACAAATCTTTTTTTTTCTGCATCATCAACTGACGGCTGGACCAAAATCCGTAAAATCACCAAAATTCCCGCTTCCTCTCGTTACACTATTTTAATCGATGGACAGCTATCTGACAACCCTATATCGAACACATTAGCCAATTTTTTCTTGGAAATTTATAACTCCGGAAGAAATAGTCTTAATGTCGAAGAAAAATATTTTGACTGGACAACGAAAATTAATTCCTATGTTACAACCTCACCTTTCCAATGTGGAAATGAAAAAATGTTTTAAGTACCGTTAAAGGCTCTACTCTTGGCCTTGATTATATTCATTGTGACATAATAAAAAAACCTTTCAGCTAATACACTGGAATAGCTACTTCGGTATTATAATCATATCTGGTCTAATGGACATTTCCCAAATAACTGGCATAATTCGATGGTAGTTCCAATTTTTTTTTTTTTTTTTTTTTTTATTTCTTTATGACATTTACAACTGTATTACATAAATACATCAAGTAAATTTGAACATAATTGATATAATGACATGAATACACTTGCTGAGTAACTACCCAATGGTAGCACTCTAATGATATGACTACATTAGGAGATCACGGGGCCATCTTCTTTTCAGACGCCTCGGAGGGTTATCAGGAATTGAAGAGGAAGCAAGGTTAGAAACGAGAGGGTTGGGATGATTCTGAAGTTTATTATGGAAGGATAGGTATCTGGATTGGGCCAGATCTGAAACATAAGGAACATTAAGATCTTTATGGATAATTTTATTAGTGACAAAGTAAGGAGCATTGAGGATTTTACGAAGGATTTTGGATTGTAAGGATTGGATGCGAGAGGAATTCGATGGTTTAGTGGAGCCCCATAGCTCAACTCCGTAAGTCCAAATAGGTCTTATTATAGTCAAGTATATGAGTCTTTTGTAATTAATGGGAAGTTTAGAGCGTTTGTCTAGTAAGTGCTGAAGTAATCGGAAACGTCGAGCGGTTTCTTGTCGTTTCAGTCTAGTATGAGGATTCCAAGTTAGTCGTTTGTCCAGGTGGAGTCCTAGGTATCGGATTTGCTCAACAGGGATAAGTGGAGTATTGTTAAAGGAAACTGTAGGACAGGAAGTCGTTGGTTTACGACGAAGGGTAAAGGTAATTTGGTGGGATTTATTGGAGTTTATTTTAATTCTCCAGTTTTGACACCATTCTTCTAGATTTATGATGTGTGATTGAAGCATTTGGGATGCAATTGCTGGGTCATTGTTTACTGATAGGATACATGTGTCATCGGCATATGTGGTGATGACAGTGTTGGGATGGGTTGGGATGTCAGCTGTATAAACTGTATAGAGGATAGGACCTAGGATACTACCTTGAGGAACACCAGCGGACTGGGAAAAAAGGGATGAATAGGCGTTATTGTGATTTACTTTAAAGTATCTATCAGTAAGGTAAGAACGGATAATGAGGAAGTATGTAGGTGGTAGGAATTTTCGGAGTTTGTACAGCAGTCCCGGGTGCCAAACTCTATCAAACGCCTGTTCAACGTCGAGAAAGACTCCCGTACAGTACATTCCGCGCTCCAATGCAGAGGATACTACGTCTACCACACGATGACATTGCTGTATAGTGGAATGGGAAGTTCGGAAACCAAATTGGTGATCTGGGATTATGTGTTTAGAATTTAGGATAGGGTACAGGCGTTTTAAGATGAGTTTTTCTAGGATCTTGCCCATGATGGGTAAAAGAGAGATAGGACGGTAAGAGGATGGGTATTCTGGTGGTTTTTTGGGTTTGTGGATCATTTTAACAATAGATCGTTTCCAAGGATCAGGAAAATATGTAGAACGGAGTACAGCATTATATATGTAAGTAAGGAATAGGATGGCTTTTCGAGGAAGAAGTTTTAGGATCTGGGATGTAATTAGATCATGTCCAGGAGCTTTACGGGAAGGCAATTTTTGAATGATGTTGGATATTTCTATGGGATGAAATGCTTTGGGTGGCAGAGACATTTGGAGAGGAATATCCAGTTCTGCCTCAATACAATTGATGTGAGTCGAATTAAGGATATCGGGATGTGGGTTAAAAGTTTGGAAGAGATGTTGACCAAATAGTTGGGCTTTTTCTTCGTCGGATTTGGACCAGGTTTGGGAATCAGTAAGTAGTGGGTGATTAAAGTCTTGAAACTTAAGAAGTTTTTTGGTGGTCATCCATAATGATTTGTCAGTGGTTGAAAGTTTTTCAGTAAAATTTAGTAAATTTTGAATTTTGTATTTTCTTATTTCTGATTTCAGTTTGTTAGTCAGTTGGGTGTAATGCGATTTATCTGTTGGGTATCTAGTCCTATGCCACTTCGATCTTGCTCTGCGTTTTTCCTGTAATAAGATACGAATATGCTGTGGCAAGTTAGTATTTTGTGGGAAGTTAATCTTATTGATAAATGTGTTATTATTTATACTGTCTGTTATTGATGATGTCAGTTTTTCTATGGCACAATTAATGTCTTCTTTTGTCTTTAGCGGGATTTTGAGGTCGAGTTTGTTTTCCAAATCATCACGAAATTTGTCCCAGTTTACTCGTCCAGTGATCAGTTTAGGAAGTGATGGTTTAGGAGCAAAGTCAGAATGTAGTGAAAGCAGAACTGGACTATGGTCTGAAGAAAGGTCATCCAGGGATTTGATTATAGTTTGGGAGGAGGAAATCTGGGAGGTGATAAATATGTCCAGGATATCGGGACGTTTTTTTGAGGGATGTTGGAAAATAAGTAGGATTCATGGGCGAGAGGATGGAATAATTGTTGGAAGAAGAAACTTGTGAAAGGGTATTACCACGGGAGTTGGATGATCGACAACCCCATCGTTGGTGTTTAGCATTGTAGTCTCCTCCAGCAATAAAGCGCGATCCGAAGGATTGTAATAAGGATTCAAGTAGGCTGTACGAGAGGGAATTGCCAGGAGGACAGTATACAGCTGAAAGTGTTAGATGGAAAGGACGAGTTGAGAGGATTACAGAAGTTGACTGAATGGCATCTGTTGGAATAGAAGGAATAAGTGAATGGGGTAAAGATTTGTGGATAAGGATGCAAGAACCGGCGTGGGCAGTGCTGTCTGGGTGGTCAGATCTATAGGTGATGTAGTCACGTAAGTAGAAATGTGTCCGTTGGGTGAAGTGAGTTTCTGTCAGGAGAGCAATGTCAATATAATTGTCATGGAGAAATATGTCTAGTTCGTCACGGTGGTTTTGCAGTCCATTAGCGTTCCATAAGAGAATAGCTAGGGACTTCGTGTTCATCGATGGAAGCTAAGCGGGATTTCGGAAAGGAGTCTGGTTAGAAGGGTTATGAGCGGTTTGATAGTCTGTTGAAGATCTATCAGGAATGACGATAAGATAGTGTTGATATCGGATGGTGTTTGGCTGGGAAGTGGGTTTGGATCAGGAGGTTGTGATGAGTAGGTTATGCGATTAGGGATGTTGGGTGGGGGCTGGGCCCGTCGTGGGGTACGAGGAGGATCTAAATTCTGTTGGACTTGTGGAGGGGGGTTCATCCTGGGATTAGGAACGAATGGAGCTGGATGTGGATACTCTGGCGGGAGTTTGACTCTTAAGGGTAAATGATGAGGAGGGATTTGCTGGCGAGGAGGTTGAGGCTGAGGATTAGGGATTTTGGGCTTGGATTGGAAGGCCTGAGGCGCCTGACGTTTAGGCTGCTTCTTACTGATGGAAGACTGGGAGTGAGAATTTCTGAGATTCTGGTGAGGCGAGTCCTTAGCTGTAGAGATGGATGGTTGTTGTTGGATGACGAGGGAAGGTGAAGTCGGCAATGCTGGGAAAATTTCCTGATTTTCGATTTCAGGTGCCTCAGTGTAAGTTTTCTGAGCAGATCCAAGATTTTTCACCGCTGAGTTTCGTGATCTTTGTTTGTAAAGATTTTTATACACTTCACATCCTCTGTAGCTCGCAAGTTCCAATTTTGAAAACCGAATATGACAAAAGTTGTCCAACCAGCTATTGCCCTATGTTTTTCAATAGTTGCATAAGTAAAACAATGGAGCGGATAATTAACAGAAGACTAATGTGGATAATAGAGAAAAACAATATGATTCAACCTTTTCAGTCGGGATTCCACAAGGGCCGATGCACGTTAGATAATTTAGTTACATTGCAAGCCGAAACGTAATATACATTTATAAAAAAAAACAAAAAAAAAAAAACAATGGCAATATTTTTTAATATGAAGAAGGCTTTTGATTACACAAACCACTCCACAATAACCAAAAAAAAACTATCTACGTTGGAATAAGAGGATAAATTTATCGTTATATTAAACAATTTCTCATACATCGTCACTTTACGGTTGAAATAGGACGCGAATTATCCGATTACCGCTAACAGATCAAAGGTGTCCCCCAGGGCTGTGTTCTAAGCCCAACTCTGTTCTATCTGATGATGAACGACTTGGTGCACAACTTACCAAGAGGAGCAAAACCACTATTGTTCACGGATGATCTATATAAATGGGATATATATATATATATATATATCGTTGATTTATCTGGACAATATATATATTGTTGATCTGAGAACATTGCCATTATAAAATCCAAATTACAGGACGTTGTCAATAGACTTAAAAAGTGGCCACTCTTTATGGGTCTTAGATTTTCTCCCGAGAAAACTAAATGCTTATATTTCAGTTGGAAAAGAAATATCCCTAACTCACCCGAAATCTACCTAGGTAATTCTAATTCCTCAATCCCATACCTAAACAAGCATAGATTCTTGGTTATTACTTTTGGCTCAAAATTTACATGGGAACCACATATCTCTACACTAAGAAAAACCACTAAAAAAAAAGATTAGCTTCGTTAAGTTATCAGAGCAGTACTACCCGAAGCTAAGACAGACGTACGCTGCTAAAACTGTATCGCGCTGGTATATGATCCAAATTAGATCATGATTGCTTTGTATGCGGACTCGTTATCGGATGGTGAATAAACTTGAGTTTCCAATGCTTTTAGAAGAAAAACCTAATTCTACACTTCCACTGTTAGAAATAATCTATCCCGCAGCTCAATTCCTTAAGAAGATACCTATACACAAACAATAAATTCAACATATAAAGTTAACATATATACAGCGGAACTTCACGCGATAGCCTCAGCCCTCCACTTCTATACATCAATCACTCCAAACACAATAGTTTGTTTGTTTTTTTAGGCTTGAACGCGTAAAACTCTAGAGTCATCAACTCCTGTGAGTTGGTTATTCTTGTAAACTCTTTAGAAGAGAAAAAAAAAATGAATAATCAAAAATTAGTAACAGATAGAATAATAAATGAAAAAGATATTTAAAAACATATAGAAAATGAAATATATTAAAATAAATATTAAAAAACACAATAAAATAAACATTATATTCATTTCTATATTTTATTTAATAGCCTATGGATTTTAAGAAAATTAATTACTGATTTTATGTTTAATTTGTTATTACTTAGTACTACTGGTATATCCGGTTTTAGAGATAATCTATTTTAGGCTTGAATCTATAAGGGCATTCTTGGAAAATATGATTGATAGTGAGAGGTCTATTGCAGTGTTGACAATTTGGTGATGACTGCTCAGTGATGAGGTGTAAATAAGTTAGATTTGTGTGTCCTATTCTTAACCTTGTCAAGGCGACCTCCTCTCTACGATTAGGACGGTTTGATGTGATCCATGGCTTCACTGATTTTTTAACAACTTTTAATTTGCTAGGTGGGCTTTTTTCCTATTTCATCCAATAAAGAAAACCAAAACCCACTTTGGGTCCACAAACCCCCCAAAAACAATGCTCCGTCTCTCTCGAGTACTCAAAATCAATACCTCACCTTCTGAATCCAAAACGGAATTCTCCCGTCTTCTACAAAATATTCAGTACTTCCTTGATACTTTCCTATGCCAAGTGATTAGATCACAGCGACCCTCCTATATTCTACAGAACCTAAGTCCTCCATTCAATCCCCTCCAACGAGATACCGTAAGTCCGACCTCATTTCTCCTCTTCACCAACTACTGCGTTTGAGAAATCCTTTATAATTCAAGCCGTCTCCCTCAGGAATTCTTTCCCTTCCGATATTCGACACTCAAGTCAGCCTCCCCTTTCAAATCTCTCATCTTTAAGCACCTATTCCATTCCCCATCTACTTGATCATGAAATACACGTATTGTTACCCAAACGTAGTGTCCTGTGCAGAAGTCTCGTAACAGTCTTGCAGTTATCTATTAGCTTATTTCTATAGAATATTGTATATTGGTTTTACCAATTCTTTACACATAGTAGCTGAAATTAGCAAGTATTATTTACTATTTTGCCTTACTTTTTATTCGAAAATCGGTTTTTTTTACTAGTTCTGGTTTTGCAACAATCAGGCGGTCTTGGTCTTGCAACAGTCAGGTGGTCTTAGTCATGTACTTTGCAAGATTTTGGGGAACACTAAGTGCACATAAGAATCTAAGTCGTGAGGCTCTCTAGATGCTGTTTATTTATTTTCTTTCTCTGTTTATATCATGTTTATTTATGTATATTTTGTTTATTTCTCTTTATTACCTTTATTTTAATCAGTTATCTTGTAAAGATTTAATTTAAGTTATGGACACACTAATATGTTTATTTATATTCTGCATTTATAATTTGCTCTAAAGGAACACCAATGCGCCAAGACGCCTCAACACAAAGGCGGAAAAAACCTATTTTAGAAGGTATTTAAAAAATTATTTTCTTTTCGACAGTCAAAAATAAATTTGTCTTCTCGGCATTTAAAGAGAACTTATTGAGATATGCCCAAGCGCATATTCTATTGATATCTTCTTGTAGTTTAAACATAGCATTGCAGAATTCAGCCGAATCGAAGGAAACATAAATTTGAACATCATCGGCATACAAGTGGTATTGACAGTGCAGGATAGAGGAAGGGACGTCATTGATGTAGGTGGAAAAAAAAATGGGAGATAAGGAAAAACCTCGTGGAATTCTTCTGGACAAGGATAGAGACTCTGATGGAGAATTATTAGGAGCTACGACATACCGGGAGCGACCATTAAGAAAGGATTACAACAAATTGAGAGCACTAGATGACAGAAAGATATTTTTGAGTTTGGTTAGGAGTCTATCATGGTCTACTGACACTTTGGAAAAATCAAGGAGAATAAGGATGGTGAGATTTTAATTGGTCTGTAGCTGTGTGGAGATCTTGTGAGATTTTAATGAAAGCGGAATGGGTAGAGTAGTCTGGTTTAAATCCGGATTGGTGGCATTTCATAAGGTTATTTTGTAGGAGATAGTGAGATAATTGGGATTGAACTAATCGTTCTAAAGGTTTGGGAAGGTTAGATAATAGGGAAATTGGGAGGAAATCATTAGGGTTTGTGGGATTAGAGGTTTTATTCAGTAGACAAACAAGAGCAGTTTTCCAAGTACTGCGGAAAGTAGAACTTTGCAGTGAAAAGTTATAAATGTGGTAATTGGGAAAATGAGTGGAAGTGAGGATTTAATCAATTTAACTGGGATGCTATCTGGTCCGAAATCATTGGTGTGGGATTTACGAATGGATTTAAGGATGTCGTCAGAGGTAATATAGGAAAGGAAACAATTATTAGGAATTAGAATTAGAGTTAGAAACAATTATAATACTGTGTTGTAACAATACAAAGGAGAATAAGTGCATTTAGTCATTACTAATTATTTTCTCTCAAAATTTATAAAAAAAGTAAATAAAAGCAATGAACTAGAAAATCAATCACGATGCTAGATCGCTCACAAAGGTGTTTTAATGGCTATCTCTGGTTGGAGATCACCGTGAAGATCGTGCAGTTACGGAAGGAACTTAATCCGTAACAAATAATAATAATATTTACTTAATCATTATTTTAATAATTGAGTTTCTTAACTGTGCTAATTCGATAATACCCATAACCTCTTGGATCCTTTGACAAGACCATCTCTGATATTTTAGAAATAGTTAACTAAAAGTTACCGACTAGAAACAACAAGACCTATTATCAAGACTTATGGAACAATAACAGATTTCACCAAAGGTCTCATTCTCACAGACCTCATATCAATACTAAAGGATAAGGATATCAATTATCAATAGATAATAGCTCCATCTCTTTCTCACAGACCTCATATTAAAAATATCAATTATTGATAACTTCCTTTGAAGGCCTCTTCTGACTTCTGTGCGATATCAGATCGCCGAGAGAGATTGCGTTCTTTATGCCCAAGCTTTAGAATAAATTATATATATTTTTTTCCATAAGCTTGTAATAATTCAAAGTTTTATAATTGTGATATTACCTTTCGTACAGCTTCAGCTGGGTGATGAAGGCCGCTAGCACCAAACTCCGCTAGAACCCTCGCTGTCATACCACTGTTGAGAATCACTTTATTAATCTTAGTAAATAAAAATATGGTAATCAATACTCATAACGTATATTAATAAATGACACAATTTAATTGTACATATTGTGTAATACTACGATTAATTTGCTTTTTACTGACGAACTTATACAAAATATTATCATTGTATGCAACCGTATTTTTAATCATGGAGTAAAGAATTTAACGGCACCAGTCTGCTGTGTAATGTGTAAAGTAATAGAACGTAGACTAGATGTCTTCAGTCGTAGCAACATCTTGTCGGACCTAAAACATTGAAATAGGACGAAACATATCCCTGCCATCAATTGATTCTATGGTGGACATCCTCATTTTCAATCTTTTTACTACCATTAATACCCATACAACTCATTACGGCATTTCATTTACAAATTCTCTCTCGGTGACCGGATCCTTGCCTTCTATAGTCTTACCAGCTTTACTGTAAGAGTTTAATTCATACTACGTATTATAATTTTCTTTTGCTTCACGACCCTCCTCTTCCAACTTTTCCTTTGACACATCATTTAACGTTGGTGTTTTTCACATTCACTTACCTATATAAGTAGTTTATGATAAGGGAAAGTATTGCGATTGTGAACATTTTCGAATCTGAGTTTCAACGAAAATACACGTGTTCAGATCTCCTGGCCAAGTTTCGAAAAATGGTCGGTGTGTGTTTTTACCCAATAACAAAAAGTCGTAAGAAACTGAAATTGTTTATTTAAGGTTTGTCTATACCTGGGATGTTATAACAACACTTTCGTCAAACCGGAAGTGTCACTATATATCATCGATTTTACATATGTTTACAATTTCCTCGAATACGGCCCTGACGATTTTGATTCTCATTAATTAATCGTATTATTAAGTGATTTTTAATTAAACACGTTAGCTGCTGAGCATGAAATATCTTAAATGTCTTTCCCGACGATATCAGTCGACAGACACAAGTTATGAAGTTCTTAACGGCATCGGACGCCAGAGAGCTGCATCAGTTTCGAGGTATACCGCTATTTTTTTTACAACAGAGGTGAACTAAATTCCCTATTCAGAGTTTCTATCTGTTGATTGTGTCCTCATTAATGGCCAGCAATCGTAGGAGTGGATTCCGACGTCCGATACCTTTTATATGACGAGTTTCTTTTATTATTTCTCTTTATTTTAGTACACAAGTGTTATTTTAAGGGATTTTAAATATTGAAAACGAAATGAGAAAACGTTTATTTATTACATATAATTATAATTTTCAATATATAATTTATTCATTATTTATACGTATGTTATTTATTTATTTATACATGTTAAATAAGCAAGGGGGACAGTTTAGAATGAACTCTTAAGAGCTACTGCGCGACAGAAGCGCGAAGAAGACAAGACCATACATGTGCACTGTCCTTCCACGGCAGGAATAAGTATCGGACGCCAGGAGGTGGTACCGTAGGGAAATCATTTCTTGTCAGTCAGGTACGGTTTCGGTCCCCGGCGTCTTTTATAAACGACGCCAACCTCACCTCCACCTGTCGACCTAATTTTCGTCGAGGGATAAAAATTAAAAAAAAAACATGGAAAGTTGTGTATTTAACTTTTCTAATGTAATTCTAGGGACATTAATAAATAAGATGATATCTTTTTAGAACTTTAAAGTAGTCAGTTGTATATTTTGTATTGTTCCAGTCTATTGTAAGAACATAAATTAAAGATATCATTTCCAGGAACTATATATATAAAACGATAATTACTTTGGAAGAAAAGGTGAAAATCTATACGAAATGATGTTCAAGTGATTCTTGAAGTCCTATGAAAAAGTAAAATAAAACTTATTATTAAATATAGGTATTTTTAAAATATTTTTTTGATAAGATGTAATATTTAGTGGCTATATTTGTTTATAATTAAAGAAAAAAGAATGGATTGTGATTATTAAGTTGAATTGTGATGTTTTTAAGTATTTATTTTAGATCATTTAAAGTTTTGAACCAATAAAAAAAATCCATTTTGTGAAGGGAGAACTCTAAGCCAAGCCTCTTCCTCTACAGGTGAAAGGAAAGGCAGGAGTCTAAGAGATTCCAGCCTCACACTGTCTTACTAGTATTAAGGTCCAGTGGAGACTAAGCAGAGGCGCTACGCTATAACCAGACATGTATGGCTTGAGTGAAGAATCTGGCCATTGCCAGAACTCCAATATAATCTTACAACAGGTCTCTGAGTCGCTTCAAACTTTGAGGAGGATTGAAGGGATGGGTAGAGCTAGATAGGTATAGTGCATGTGGATTTGGATGATATGTAAGGAAGGACTTTGGACCGAAAGGGATTGAAGGCATTTGATGTTATAAAATTTTGCTGTCATCCACAGTTTCAGTACGTGTTCCAAATCGGTTTCTTCATTATTGTCTTGTAAATCAGTAATTTATTGAAATCGGCAATTGAATGTTTCTGTTCAGTAGTGTATATAGCTAGTCATATCGTCGGTAGAGTTCTTGTTTTTAAGTCTAGTATGTCGGTTCCATGTTAGTGTTCGGTCTAAGAGAAAGCCAAGAAACTGGACTGTGTATGGGTCAGAAATCTGGATGGAATTAAAGTGTACTGGTGTACAGGAATTGCGTCGGAGCGTAAAGGTAATGTGTTTTCATTTTAATATATTTATTTTAGTACGCCAAATATTACAACGGTGCTAAATGAGCGAGAGGTGCCACAATAGATTTAAGGATGCTATTACGGGATCTGATTTGGATAATAGGGTTGCGGTTTCATCAGCGAATGTTGCAAGGAAGCTATCAGAATGAGCAGAAATGTTGGCAGTAAAGAGTATGTAAAGCACACGTGCTTTACATACTTATATACAGTCTTCTTGGTCACGACCAAGAAGCTACCTTGCGGAACACCGGTTTTAACTAGATAGATATTGGAAAATTTTGTTCCACGGTTTACTCAAAAGGAGCGGTTATAGATGTAGGATCGAAGGATTAGGTATAATGACTAAATAAAATGGATTTAGCCTTAATTCCTCGGCTTTACATACGTCAGATTTATCCCAGAAGCCGTTATCTTTTCGGAGAGAGTGTGTAATTTGGTGATGGTTTGAGATTTTTGTTTTCCGAAGGAAATTGTCACGAGCAGAGTGTAGGATAGGTAGAAGTTTAAGGATTGTGATCTGAAAGTAGCTAATTCCTGTATTAATTTTTTACAGTAATAATTGCTGTCGGTGGTATGTCTTGTAAGTTGCCATAATAATCTGATACAGCGTCTGATGTGGATTAAGTCAAGGAGATGTTGGAATAGATTAGTATTTTTTGAAATATATTGAGTTCAATTTGGTCGGAGAGGATTTGTCAAAAAACGTCCCAGTTACCTGTGCCTCTGACAAAAGACGGTGAAGAAGTTTTAGAACGGGTTCTAGTGAAACATTATGAATTAGTTTACTATGATCAGAGACTAGTTCATTTAGATGTACAATGGAACAATTTAGAGGGCCTAAGCCACTGCGGATAAATAAATCGAGGTTATTAGGATTACGGTTAGGATCTGTGGGCCAGTAAGTAGAAGAGTTGGGGGGGGGGGGAGGAGGTGAAAACGTTGGGAATTGAAGTCAGACATCAATTTTCGGTCAAGGAAATTCGGATTCTGGAACCCATGTTTGGTAATTGGCATTTAAGTCTTTACCTTAGATGAAATGATGATGTCCTGAGGAGTCGAGGAGAGAACTGAACTGGGCATTGGATATGGATTGGTTAGGAGGGCAATATGCTGATGCAAGGGTAACCGGAAAAGAGAAGATGTTGATTATGGTAGGGTTGGATTGTAGGAAGTCTTTTGTAGGTAATGGGAGTAGGTGATAGCAGAGGGATTGGTCTACAATGACAGCAGTACCGTCATGTGCTCTTCTGTAATATTGATCAGTACGATATGTCAGGTATTGTGGTATTTTTAAGATCTGTGAGTGTTAAAATAGGAGCGGTTCTCCGCCACGGCTTATGTAGACGATCTGGCTGTTGTAGTGGCCTCAAACAGCAGAGCCAGGTTAAAAGAAGAAGCTGAACGATGTGCCAACCTAGTAGGAGGATGGTGCGAGGAAAAAAAGATGAATATGGCGGCTGATAAGACCCAGTCCATTATTTTAAGGAGTAAGACTTGAATATGGTAAGAACGTTGATCCCCTATGCCCAAGTTGAAGAGAGCTGGAGACCGCCGAGCATATCATCCTCGTCTGTACCTTTGAGGCACTGAGGGCTAAATTGTTGAGGGATACGGGACTTCACGTTCTGACGAAGAGCGATCTCCCGCAACTAATGACAAAGGAAAATTATCCGTACTACAAGGTCTTCGTATACGGGTGGAAGGAACTCGCTGGTTCAACCCACTTTTCATTGGGAAGAAGAGATGGACCTGCATCCGCAAGACCACCAGAGAGGGTGGAAGAGGAGGCTGGTTAAAAGAAGAAACAGCAGTCTGTGTGCACAGCTGAAAAATAAAAAAAGGAAAGAGATATAATTGGTCTCAATGCAGCAGTGAGTTGGAACGCAAGCGTTGCTACTCACTGCTGCATAACACCCGTATTGCCTTACCGGCAGGGTAGGGTTTAAATAAAATAAATAATAATTTTGAAGAGCTGTTTAATGGGTAGTCGAGTTTCAGCAATTAGTGCCACGTCAATGTTCTTGTCAAGTAATAATGCAGATAGTTCATACAGACTAACTTCCTAACACCATTCCATTTTGAAGAGCTGTTTACTGGTTAGTCCTGCAGGAGCTAGCCTTGTGCACGGCTAGTGGAGATTAACGTTCTTCCAGGTACCCGAGTTCAGTACACTGCAAAATACACACATAACACTACACTATACATGCAAACTGACACAAGGACACCTACACTACTTACCCTAAAGCTTCTTCCCCCGGGAAGCCGCCCTGGAGGGGGAGCAAGTCAGGTTGCTCCGAGGATGCAACCCCTCTACCTGACCAGGGAGCAGTGGACTATTAACCAGCTCTCCTTAAATATAAACTATTATGAGACCTCATGAGGAGGCCAGGACTCACTAAGGGATGTGGAGCCGTTAAAATACATAGATAGTTTAGTGGTTAGTCGTGTTTTAGTAATTAGTGCCACGTCAATGTTCTTATTAAGTAATAAATCAGATAGTTCCTCAGTATGATTTTTAACATCATCCGCATTCCAAAGGAGAATGGACTTATCTTTATTGTTAGTCATTAAAGGATTTTTGAGAGAGGGATAAAATGAGATACAAGATTGGTGAGAAGGGATATCAAATGAGTAACAAGAGATCTGAATTCGGAGAGACCAGATGTAAGTTAACTGGTGAAATCTTTGGATTTTGATTGAAGAAGAATGTAAGGAATTTGGTGTTGATAGAATTGTTGAGTATTAGATGAAATTTGAGTATTACGATGCAGAGGGTCGGGTTGAGAATTTTCAGGTATATATTGTTGCTGCGGCAGGGTCTCCAATTACTAATTCCGTTCTTACCTCCAGGTATGCAGAAGACACCGTTGGCTGCATGATTTTGAAAGCCTCTCTTCTTAATCCGGATATTTCAGTTTCTTCTTAGTACCTGGATTTCTGGTATTCTGATTTCGTACTCTTGAATATCTGACAGCCTTCGTAGTGTCGCCGGATATCCTTAAAGGCACAAAGGTCTCAGTTGTATTTGGTGATATTTTCGTGTCATTTGATCTGCTCAGATGTGAGTAGCTACCAGGGCCTGTTATTTTGTTTTGTTGAGAACAAAGTAACTGAATATTTTAAAAATGAATTTATCGAATATCGGTGGAGGTCGGGGGGTCTCAATTACCTCTCTACTATTGTAAAGCACCTGATTGGGGTTGGGTGAAAAAATGGGAGATTTTTCATTTGTCTCTTGTATTGATGTACCTCATTGAGGCTGAGGTTCTTTAATTGCCTCTTGTGGTGATGTACATGGCTGGTTTTCATGTTATCCGGTGCTAACAGGGGTCATTGGAGGTGTTTCATTTGTGATTTACAAGGCTTTTGTTTGACAGACGAAGAACGAGATGTTGAGTCTAACAACCGAATTCTGTTAGTAGACGCTCTACTGGACATGACCTGGATGTAATATCACATTAAAATAATTAAGAAGAAAATAAAAATTATCATTTATAACTTCACCCACTAAATATCATTTTTTCTTATATCCTTGACCTATTTTAAAAGAATGATCTCAGAAATTCCGCTTAAAACAAGTAAACGTTAAGAATCGCATCCAGAAAAAAAAGGAAGAAAGAATATTATGCATAATACCTGTTCTTATCCGTGCTTATCCCTATGCTGAGAATCAGCTGCTCTGCGATTTCCAATCTTGACAATGCCAGGCGAGGATGCGTTGACGAAGTAAGTGGTCTTGTAATGTGGACAGGAATAAGGTTCAACTTCCTAAGCATTTATAAAACGCTGTAATTATGAGTTAAATTAATGAGAGCTATTTAATTAGTGCATTTATAAATTTGATATTAATAAATAGATTTAAAATAGGGAATTAGACAGCTTTGCAAAAACACAAGGAGGCCAATGTACCTAGTTCTGTCATAAATATTGTTACAAGGAAATATATACAGATTTCAACAGAAAAATTATTTTTTTCAAAAACTTTATCAGAAAATAAAATGCATATAGATAGAGGGTAAAACAAAATAGAAATTACTCAAAATATCTCCCTTTGCCTTGACACAGGCAATTAATCTTTGTGAGCAGTCATCAATAGCAGCACGCAGCACTTCTTGGAGAAAGCGCTCAACTGCTCGGACCAGAGATTGTTAAAGGAAAATTTCTAACTTACACTTTTCAACTTTGTTTAAGGCGATCACGTCTATTCGGTTTTCTTTATCACCCCACTCCATGTTAACTGAGCGAAAGAAAATACAAGCTAGTTGGGATTATTACCCTGACATGTAAAGAAAATAACCTAATAGAGGTAAGGAATATCTAAATAATACCCAAGGATGTAAACAAAGTTCAACTTTTGTAACAGTATTTATGGCAGAACTAGATATTTTTTAAATAATGGCGAATATGTCATGTATATATATATTTGTGTGTGTGTGTGTGTTTTTGCTTTTTAAACTAGGTTCTCAAATATCTAAATGTAATATTAATTCCAAACATTAGTGACACATCCCTTTTCCACCGTCACATTGCAACGTCCTTGTCTCCTTGGTGTCGGTGCGCTTCACCTTTGAGGCACCGAGGCAATTGCCAGCCTCTGGAATTTGCTGTTGTTAGGTCTCATTAATTGCTCCTTCACCAAGTTCTACTCCAAAATAGGAAGAACTTACTATTTCCACTCATCTACCCTAGTAGCCGCCACATAGTGAAGGATCTGGTAATTCTCCGTCGTCACTTTTATGTTGTCGATAATTTCATTGATTTTCGCTGAGTTTGGGAAAATTTCGCTGTTTAATTATTTTTATTTATTGTAACTAGACTGTCAATGAGCTACTGCATCACTAATACAAATGACCTTAAATGTGATAAAATGTAATACTACTTAATAAAGAAACATGTTTATTTAAAAAAAAAATCCTTTGGAAGTTTCAACTATATAAAATGAATGCATTATTATCAATCAATTTTATAACAATAACATGTCTATAATTAATTTTGTTGTGCCCTCAATAATTGTTATATTTTTATTTATTTATTTATTCAATAAGATAACATTCTGTCACAAGGATAATAATTATTGTGGAATAAAAACACATTCACACCATATATATAGAAAACATAATATAAACTAAGGCAAAATAACTACTAAATAGTTATCAAAAAGCATGTACAATTAATATAAATAAAATAACCTAAAGATGATTAAATTTAAAAACACAGATATATCTGTACACAATATTTATAATTAACAACCAGACAAGTCCCTCAAAATATAGAGGTAAAAGACGGACTTCAGAAAATCCTACTAATTGCTACTCTCTCGACCGCGTCAATACTGCTAAAGCCAGTGGAGATTGAGCGAGAGCCACATACACCCATGTTTTCAGTATATAATCTGACTATTTCCAGAAATCCAATACATGCCTACTGCAAAAGGTCGCGGGATTTTAAGGTGCTTGCATTTGTATTTGTTTACTTGAATTCGCCATTTACTACACCGATGCTAAATCAGGGATAGATACCTGTAGAAGGATGATAGTTCACGATCTGAGTTGGATGATTAGATGGCGGTGTCATCAGCAAATGCTGTCAGGAAGGTATCGAGATGGACAGTGATATCTGCGGTAAAGATGATATAAAAGATGGAACACAAAACGCTACCTTGAGGAACACTGGCCGGCTTGAACTGGATAGCAATTGGAAAATTCAGTATCGCAGTGAGCTCGAAAGATGCGATAAGAGAGATAGGATTGGTGCACAACGTATAATCACTTCACTCAACGTTCATATTTCTACATATGTGACTACATCACTTACATCAGACCACCCCAACAACACTTCCTATGCCGGTTCTTGCATCCTTATCCATAAATCCATATCCCATTCCCTCATTCCTTCTATTCCAATTGAGGCTACTGACGCGTCCTCTTCATTTAACACTTTCAGCTGTATACTGTCCTGGTCATACTCTTACCTACAATCTACTTGAGTCTTTATTCCAATCCTTCTGATCGCGCTTTATTGCTGGAGGAGACTACAATGCTAAACACCAAAGGTGGGGTTGTCGAGATCAAACTCTCGTGGTAACATACCATCTTTTGTCTTAACTTCCAGTAGTTACTCCATCCTCTCTCATATGAATCCTACCTATTGGCCAACTCCTACAAAACGCCCTGATATCCTAGACATATTTGTCATCTCCCAGATTTCCGCTTCCTATGTCACAATCAAATCCCTTGATGATTTCTCCTTTGATCATATTCCAGTTCTGCTTTCATTGCACTCATCCTTCGCTCCTACACCGATACAGGACGAATAAACAGGGACAAGTTTTGTAAAGACTTAGAAAATAAATTGGACCTAAATATTCATAAGACCGACCCTTAAGTGCTTACTACCTCTAAGTGACAAAATACACGATAATACATCTACCAATAAAAATAACAACTCTCAACAGAATAATTTCCCACAGCACATTCGTATCTTATTAAGGGAAACACGCAGAGAACACTAGATACCCATCAGAAACCGCATATTACAACAACCGCAGATTAACTAACCAACTAAAAGCTGAAATTAGAAAATACAAAATTAGAAAAAACAGAAAATCTTACTATTACTGACAAATCAATATGGTTGACCACTAAAAAGCTTCTGAAATTCAAAGATTTTAACCACTTACTGAAAGAATTCTGCGCATGGGGAGGAGAAGTATAGGGTAGTGGTGGATTTTAGGAAACTTAATGAGAACACTATGGAAGAAAAGTATTCAATCCCACGATTCGAAGACATCCTAGACAAGCTAAGTGGGGCAACAATCTTTAATACCCTGTATTTGAAGGGAGGATACCATCAAATAAGGATGCAACCTAGGGACCAACACAAGACTGCGTTTTCTTTCGAAAAGGGGCATTACGGTTTCACGCGGAGGCCATTTGGGTTGAAGAACGCGACTATAGCATTCCAGAGATTTATGGATGAATTCTTGAGAGGGCTGGATGAAACATTTTGTCAGGTATACATGGATGACCTCTTGGTCTTCAGTAGGGATGGAAGTGAGCATATTGATCACTTGCGACGCTTGTTCGACTGGCTGAGGCAATTTGTGCTAAAAGTATCGGCTGAAAACTCAAACTTGGGAAAGGAAAAAATAACTTTTTTGGGACATTCGATATCGAGGGAATGGATCAAAAAATGGCAGGCCCGATAATCAAAAAATGGAGGCTATTCAAAACATGGCAATGCCAAGATATATCAAAGGAATTCGCAGGTTACTGGGAAAGCTACATTATTATCGCAGATTTGTCCCAGAGATGGCAAAATATCTAGCACCACTCAATAACCTGCTGAAGAAAGGCAGACAATTAGCAATAACACCAGTGATAGAAGACAATGTGAGAAAATGTATGGCAAGGTTACAGGACAGACGGATGCCAGTGAATACGCATTAGGGGCGTTACTTGTACAGGAATGGAACGAGGGCGAACAACCGGTGGCATATGCAAGTAGGTTGCTCTGGGAAACGAAGGAGAGGTACAGCGCTTTGGAGAGGGAGCTCCTAGGCATAGTATGGGCAGTAGGTCATTTTAGGCCATATATTTTCGGCCGGAATTTTAAGGTTCATAAGGACCACCAACCTATGCTGTAGGTAGGAAATCTTAAAGAATCATCGGCCAGAGTTACTCGGTGAAAACAATTACTAAGCCAATATAATATGGAAATTACTTACAAACCATTCAAGGAGAATGGTTGTCCAGGACGATCACGAAAAACGCCATTGGGGAAAAAAAGAGGAAACACCAAGGACGTGCGGCAATTCCACAGAGCATGGACGCCGGAGGGATAGGCAGAACGAGAGATCATTTACATGTATATCAAGGAGAATTAGGGCTAGAAATAGATAGAGCTATGAGAAAAGCAGTAGCAGCATAGAATCATTCCATTCATTCAATTCCGCCGAATCCGGAAGATACATTTTGCGAAGATCACTTTAAATCACTATAATACATGCAATCGTGATCTCAAGGATAGATTAGTTGTTTCGCATCTGTTTGGTTCTAACCTAGATTCCACTAGAGAGATAGCTCTACGCAGATTTAGAAATATGGAAAATAGATTTATGAGGGATAATGATTATACCTATGCTGCATAGATGGAAAAATATATATAAATAGATCATAAAGACCGCCTCGCCAAGAACCCTTCTTCCTACGCCATGACCTATCATGAAATGAAATGAAATGAAATGAAATGAATGAAATGAAATGAAATGAAATGAAATGAAAAAAATGTTTTATTATTCTGGGACTGTTGTCCCTTAAGAACAAAATATGAATATAGATTATATGTCTGTGTGGCTACAATTGAATTGTATATTTACAATGAAAGTTGACTTACGATAAAAATACAGAAAAGAGAAAAAAAAGAACAAGTAAATTGTACATATGTATGAGAAACTAAAATAACCTTAATAAATTGAGGTAGTCTCTGGTGGTGCTCAGATATTTCTCTAAGATATATTTCACAATCATTCGGATTAATCATCATGGTGTCATTAAAGATCATTAAAGTGTCATCTTCCACGACATTGCTCAGAGTCGTATTTGACGGATCGGAGAAGATGGTGGGAGGGAACTCACTGAATGATTTACTTTGGACCGGTATGCAGCTTCAGACTGATATTGCGGAACTTGTATACCATTTTAGATACTATCCTGTGGCCTTGACATGCGATATAAAAATTATGCTTCGATGTATCCGCATTACCGAAATTAATCAAAACGTATTGGGGGGGAGGGGGGTGGGAATTGAATCTTCACAGCCGATCCAGGAGTATAAGTTGGTGTTACCTTGCCATTTGGTTTATTGCTCAAAGAGTCGTTGTACTATTATTTCAAGAAGAAGACTATAATTTTCCTATTGCTGCCGAGTGTCATGAACAGATTTATGTAGAAAACGTAATCACTGGTGATCGCAATAGTGATGACGCTCTGGAACTGGATAATGAGTTGATTGAATTGGTCTTATTTGAAGCAGGTGGGTTTGAATTCAGAAAGTTCTCCAGCAATTAAAAAAAAAACAAAAAAACTTTCTGTTACACCCGAGGGTAGTCAAGAAGTTTCGTTGCGCCTGGATGGAGATTCCTCAACCAATCTGGGGATCCCAAAACTTGATCATTTCAGGTATTTAATACAAGAAAATGAGCCTATTATTACTATGCGGAATTCTATCCTTCATTGCCAATAATTTCGATATAAATAGATCAGTTCTGTAATATTTTAGATTAAATGTATATTACAGCATTTATGGCTGCTTGAGGTTGATTAAGATGATGAGTTGCCCTCTAGTGTGTCTCATTGTTGAAGGTTTTCCTTGAAGAGTTTCCGCGCTTGAGAAATGACTACCTGCCTCGTTTTATAGTCAGCCAGAACTCATCATCCATGTAGCAAATTATCATTTCAGACAATTCGGAGAAAGGTTATGGGTGTGTGATCTACCTGAGATTTGGATGCACACGAGAAATTTCCGAAATTCATTGTTAAAGGCAAAAATGTAAGGTGGCCCCACTTAAGGTTCAATCAGTGAGTACCTCATTTGGAACTAGTTGTTTCAGTCTGGTATGAGGTAAAAATATATTTCGAATAATTTCTCTCTTTGTTTATTGTAAACCAAACAATTACCTCTCGTTTGTACTATGCCTAGTAATTAACAATCTATGAGTTCGTGTTTCTTTTTTTTTTTTTTGTTTGTTTATGAAATGAGATATTTCACGTTGGAGGATATGGTTTGTGTAAATGGTGTTGTACCTGAGCGCCGTTGCGATGAGTGGTTAAAACAGATTACACGGTGGGCCAGACCCTTACCGTGCACCCCCCCCCCCCACATCCCTATAAATTGCATATCGTTGTGTTCCTTGTAACTATTTATTAAAAAAAAAGCCAATGTTCCCACAAAAAAAAGTGAACGCACTGCCCCAAAATGGCGTCCAAAGATGGCGGATTGACGAATTTGACTTTAGTTAGTTTTTTGGTCACTGAGAATCAGCATTTGGCTTAATTTCCTCATAGTTGGTCTTTCATTAAAGCTGAATAGTCATAGAATAATAAACCATGAAGAAATATTAAAAAATAATTGGCTTAGGCTATGAAAAACACTACTAAAGTCAATTTTTTTAATAAAAAAATTTTCAAGTTAAAAATCAAGCGTCATTTGTAATTAAACGGCCTACAATAACGCAAAACGTGCTGAAATAAACCATCTGGAGAATATATTTTTCTTTCCAAAACGCTGATTATTTTTTAAAAACTTTTAAACAGTTCCGTAGAAAATGCACTTATGCGCCAGAAAAGCGGTACTGGCGTGGGTGCCTACAGGCCTCTACCACACCATTCAGTACACATAAATGGCTTAGTTAATGTGATATAATAACATTTTTGTTACATTATATTGGTTTTATTAACGAACAAATATTAATGCAATAATTTAATTGTAAAAAAAAAATTAAAATTTAAAATTTTTTTTTTTTTTTATTTAATCTTCTTTATTCTACACGTAGGTCGTTTAAGAAGACCTTGATTGTAAAAATGATATAATTATAATAATAAAACTTAATTAAAAAACTTTGCTAAATATCTTGATTTTTTTTTTATTTAACGTTTGCAATTTAACATTGTGTTTTGTATATTTACTGATTCTTAAAGGTAATTAAAATTTATATATACTTCCCAGGAAATGTGTCGTATTAATATCTGTTTTATAAACTAAAATAATATATACCTATTTTTTAAAAATCTAGCTTTGAAGAGGATCCCATGATTGACTAATAAAAAAAAAATACCGGGATCGAAACGTCAATAAACAGAAGAAATGAACATTCAATAGTTTATTAAATAATAATTAAGTGACCTTATTCCCAATTAAATAGTTAAGTTTAAATATATATATATATATATATATATATATATATATATAATATATATATATATATATATATATATATATATATATATATATATTCTCCTCTTAATCTATGCCTTAGTATTTACATTACGAGTATTTATTTACATATCTTAAGTGACAGATGTAAATCATTTTTTTTGCTTGATTTTTTTCTTCCTCTAGTTTTTTTACATTATTACAATGGTTTATTTATAAAACTACATTAACGTTACTTTCCAGCTTAATTTAATTATTTTTATTTTATTATTTTTAGCAGTTATCTTAAAGTATTGTAACCCTATTGCTCTTTTGCTTTCATTTATAATGTATATCTTCATAGCTAAACCTGTCTCATTGCTTATGTTCCCGTTATTCTTTATTTGAAATAAGTCTTTTGACCAGATCCTATGTTAATATTTATGAACAATATTGTTATTTTAAGGGACTATGTTCCTGAATAAAATTGATTGTTCTATTCTATCTCATATTTTTTAAAGATAATCACCTGAGTTCGGGAGCATGAGCCATACTAAGTATAGTATGAACGGCAGTGTTGTGTATCCTTGGAGTTACATCTCCTGATTTAGAAAGTAACTCTGGAAGAATTTTCTCAACACTTCTACTCATCTCGGACACAGACACTCTGTAACAGAAAAGGTAATTAAAAAAACAATTTCCACTTTGAAACATGACTATTAGTATACCATCTTCTAGTCAATCGAATTTACATTTTTGTAATTCGATTTTAACTCAGCGTGCTCCAAACCCATTTACAAATATTATAGTTTATTTATTGCATAAAAAATAAATATTCTAATTTTATTAATGATTTAGGCTTCCTCACAACCTACCTGAAGATAGGGAAGCTTTGTATTCGTGGGGTAGGTTAAAAAAAATTTCATGCTCACAATCGAATATTTCGGATATAATAATAATAATACTTTATTTATTCTGGGACGAGTCCCTTTAGAATAATACAGAAAGACAAAAATGTGGGCTAAGGAGCCTCAGATATACTTTCTAATTTAAATTAGTTAATAATAATAAATAAAAATAGAAAATAAACATGAAGTAAAAATAATGAAGAACGATATAATAATTTATATACATATTTACAGTAGTAACTATTTACAATTTTATGAGGACAGGATGGATAAGAAATGATTAAACGGGCGGGATTTAAAGGTAGGAAGGGTTTTGGATTGACGGATGTGGGGAGGGATGGAGTTCCATAGGGATGAGGATCGGATAATGAACGATTTGCCGAAAGCAGCAGTTCGGTGGGCCCTTATGTATAAATCATAAGACCGGGAACGATCATTGCGGGAACAAACAGAGGATTTTAATTGAAGGAGCTCGGAGATGTATGAAGGGCGATGGGTTATGCGTTTCACACATTTTTTTTCAGGGTCTGTATGTCTTCCAGTAGTGAAATCGATGTGACGGATATATCATCCACTACCGTTTGTTAGATTTTCCTGAATTTTTCAAGGATTGTGCGGGTTGGTGCTTGTATGGTACCATATCAATTTCATTTTAGGAATTTGTTCTTTCCTATACTTATGAACGCACGAAAAGCGATAATTCTTTATTGAGATATATTACAATCTGTCACTTGTAAGAACAATGGTAATAGTGACATAAGATTTGCTCATTCACAATATATACAATAAATAAACAGCAAAAAATAGTACTAAAAGTAAATACATATAAACTAAAAGAAACAAAACTAAACTAAACGAAAAAAAAAAAACAACAATTATATAAATCAAAATAACTACTTAAATACACAAATGCTTTTATAAAAAATTACGAAATTCATTCACTCAAGGTCTCTGAGCCAAGGCTTTCACCCCGCTCCTGGAAGGAAAGGCAAGACTCTAGAAGATTCCAGCACCACTCACTCATCCGCATTACTAGTATTAAGGACCAATAGAAGCTGAGCAGAGGCTCTATAACCAGACATACATGGCTTGAGTGATGAATCTGGCTATTTTCAGAACTTAATATATGCTTACAACAGGTCCCTGGGTCACTGCCGCTTCAACCTTCGAGGAGGATTGTAAGGATGGGTAATTCTTGAGAACGAACATAAAATTGGATTTATTTTCGAAATTGACATTAGCTACCCTCAAGAACTATAAATAATTAAACGATTTAAAGTCTTTTAAAGTTTAAAAACAGAGTTGAGAAAAGGAGCCTCCAAGGACTTTGAATAGGACTTATATGTTATTAAACTATGCAGCTTTCAAGGAGTTAGACGCCAGTTGTGGTACAGTGTACATGGTCTGTTAAAACTGCATTACATTTAAATGGTAAAAAGCGTTAGTTATTTGTGAAAATTGGCATAAGTGATCAATAATAACATTTCCTTCATTATATAAATTTTCAAGAAAATCGTAAAAGCTAGAGGTGGGCAGTACTCGATTACTTTCATGATTTGAGCACTTTTATTAGGAAAAAGTATCCTCCGTCATCGACTTCTTGTAACATTTCGGATTTAATCGAATCAGAGTCTACTATTATGTTATTAAGGGAGCTTTTTATGAAAATATTGTCGGATTTGAGATAGCACCCTCCCTCATCGACTTTGTGTAACTTTTCGGATTTAATCGATATCAAGGTCGACTATTATGATTTGGGGGTATTTTTCGTGAAAATACAGTCGGATTTGAGATTGCGAAACCGGGCATCGACTTTTTGATACTTTTCGGATTTAATCGATATTAGGGTTAATCCTTATGTTTTGGGGAGCGTTTTTTATGCATATATTGTCAGATTTAAGATTGCACATCAAATGTTTATAACTTTGCGGAATTAATAGATATTAGGGTCGACTATTATATTTTGGGGGGTGCTTCTTATAAATATACTGTCAGATTCGAGTTTACGCCCCTCTAGCATCGAATTTTTGTAACTGTTTGGTTTTAATCGATATCTGGGTCGACAATTACGTTTAGGGGGTTGCTATTTATTAAAATACTTGTTAAATTTGGTAAATGATGTATTCGATAACTTAGAAAAGAAAAAGTGGAATAATTCTGAGAAAATTTGATAATGCAAAGTACTCTCGAGGACTGCTGATTACTTTTAGTACTCATGAATTATCAGGTTGAATACTGATTAAAATACTCAAAACCCGGACTGCGCTGGTATTTGTGTAATATACTCTGTAATTAGTAATGTTTACTCATATTACTTCTATCATATTTCCTTCTTCATATATCCAAAAAGTCAATGCTCGGGGAAGCAATCTTAAATTAGAAAGTATATTAAAAAAAGCGCCCGCCAAAACATAATAATCGACCCTAATATCGATTAAATCCAAAAAATCGATGCGCAGGGGCGCGATCTCAATTCCGGCAGTATTTTCGTAAAAAGCCCCCCCTAAACGTAATTGTTGACCCTGATATCGATTAAATACAACAAGTTACATTAAGTCGTGCAGCGGGGCCGCAGATCCGACAGTATATTCATAAAAAGCACCCTTAAAAACATAATAGTATTCTTTCAGTGGATACGAAGTCACTGTGGTCTCCACGGAAACGAAATGGCTGATAAACTCGCCAAAGAGGGATCCACTTTGAACCAGCCAGGAAATTATACATCATATGAGAGATCCAAAAAAAACAATTAATAAGACCAATGATGCTCTATTACTGGATTCCGTAAAGAGCGGTACTGCAGAAAAGTAGTGGAGAAATTTGTTTAATGAAGCGGATCGAGTTCCCATGAGCCTGCCGAGAAAGGAGGCGGTAGCAGAGTTCCGGTTGAAAACAGGCCACGACTACCTTAGGAAGCACCTGCATAGAATTGCATTCCAAATCGGAATGGTACTGAGCTTCAAGATCTGTAATGGCAGAAGCTGATAAAGAGGGTAGTAAAAAACAAAACAAAAAAAAAGCATGATAGACAACCCCAATATCGATTAACTCCGAAAACTTAACAAAGTCGATGCCTGGAAGCGCAGTCTCAAATCCGACAGTGTATTCATAAAAAGCGCCTCCCCCCCAAAAAACAAGAGTCGAACCTAATATCGATTAAATCCGAAAAGTTAGAAAAAGTCGATGCTCGGGAGCACAATCTCAAATCCAACATTATTTTTATAAAAATAACTCCCCAAAACATACTAGTCAGCCATAATAACGATCATATCCGAAATATTACAAAAAGCTGATGCCTGGTGGTGCAATCTCAAATCCAACAGTATTTTTATAAATAGCATCCCCCTAAACGTAACAGTCGACCCTTATATCGATAAAATCTAAAAAGTTACAAAAAGTCGATGCGCGGGGGTTGAATCTCAAATCCGACAGATTTTCATAAAAAGTGACCCCCAAAACATAAAAGTCGACCTTAATATCGATTAAATCCAAAAAGTTACAAAAGTCGCTGAACGGGGGCGCAATCTTAAATCCGACAGTATATTCATAAAGAGCTCCCCCCAAAACATAAGAGTCCACCTTAATATCGATTAAATCCGAAAAGTTAGAAAAAGTCGATGCTCGGGAGCACAATCTCAAATCCAACATTATTTTTATAAAAATAACTCCCCAAAACATACTAGTCAGCCATAATAACGATCATATCCGAAATATTACAAAAAGCTGATGCCTGGTGGTGCAATCTCAAATCCAACAGTATTTTTATAAATAGCATCCCCCTAAACGTAACAGTCGACCCTTATATCGATAAAATCTAAAAAGTTACAAAAAGTCGATGCGCGGGGGTTGAATCTCAAATCCGACAGATTTTCATAAAAAGTGACCCCCAAAACATAAAAGTCGACCTTAATATCGATTAAATCCAAAAAGTTACAAAAGTCGCTGAACGGGGGCGCAATCTTAAATCCGACAGTATATTCATAAAGAGCTCCCCCCAAAACATAAGAGTCCACCTTAATATCGATTAAATCCAAAAAGTCGATGTGCGGGGAGCAATCTCAAATGCTACAGTAACTTATCTAATCTGTCCCCACCACTTACCGCAATGAGACAACTGGGCACTATCTTTGCACAAACACAACGGTTGAGGAATTTTTAACAACCTTTGACATTTAATTATTTGACTTTTTACTTATCTTAAGTTATTTTATTTGTATTTATTAATTATTTATTGTTAATCATATATTTATTAACAGGCATGATTGACTCAAAGCCCACGTGTTTAGAAAGTTCCATTTTGGCTCCCTTCTGCGAGAGCGGAGGTGAACATACACGGATGTACAGCAAATGTGCAGGTTCTATTCTCAGGAAAGGAAAGTAATCTGCCCCTCTGCAACTGAGGTGTAAATAAAACTGTACAGACGTATGGAGGATCTTATAGCCCTGGAGATAGGACCCAAAAATCGACCTCATCGCAGGCGAAGGTTTGATTGTAAATTACGAAAATGTTATTCTGAATAAAAAGATCCTTGTCTGTCGTTCCAGGGAAGATGCTTTAAAAAATGTCGGCTGATTTAAAGAATATTAGACCTGTAATTCGAGGATCGAAACGGAAAATCCATTGCGAAAAATGTGAGAAAAATATTTAATTTTTTAACTTGTATATATGGGTTTAGACATGTAAAAATCAAAATTTCTAAGGCAGGCCACCAAGGAAAAACTTTTTACAGCCTAAAAAGTCAGATTTTTTCGACATTTTGTACGTTTTTCACCTATAACTCCTAAACGATGCATCAAAGCGAAAAATGTACTAAATGTCTTTAATAAATTAAATAAGGTTAAATTCTGCATCGAACAAATATATAGAACTTAATAATTTGGTTACGTGATAAGGTATAAAACCATGGTCATCCAACGCTGATGTTCACCAAATTTGTCAAAAACAGAGACAAATTAATATAAATGGCTCTGTAACTTGGAAATTAGTTCCCTAAGAGAAAAAACCCATAGAGTCAAAGTTGTAGAGCATCAAATTTTGTGTCCACTTAGTACTGACATTTTTTTGTATGCCAATTATATATCTCTAATCGGGATTAGTTATTCCTTTATGAAATTCGGTATCTTTCCACACATCGTTTATCAAAATCCTGCGCTGCTGAGAGGTGGAAAAGAGACTTATAATTCATGTAACAGACTCTAAACAAAAATAACTCAGTAGAATAGACACCCATACTGTTGAAATATTAAAAATCACGTTTACCTTCATTACCAATTTCAAACCATCGGGAGATTACATATTTTGTTCGGAGTAAGTGACCTACATTAAATTAGTTGGTACTCATGGAAGGCAAAATTTGATACTCCACAACTTTGATTCTATGAGTTTTTCCTCTTGGGGAACTAATTTCCAAGATACAGAATCGCTTATAGTGATTTATCTCAGTTTTTGACAAATTTGGAAAAATTCAGCGTTGTTTGACCGTAATTTTATACCTTACCACGCAACAAAATTATTAAGTTTATGTACTCGTTCTACGCACAATTTAACGTTCTTTAATTTATCAGCGAGTACATTTTTTGCTTTGATGCATCGTTTAGGAGTTACAGGTGAAAAAACAAAAAGATATCAACAAAAATCTAATTTTTTTGGCTGCAAAAAGTTTGCCCTTGGTGGCCCGCTTTAGAAATTTTGTTTAAAATGTCTAAACCCATATATAAAGGAAATATGAAGTATGAAATCTTTTCTCACATTTTTCGCAATAGATTTCCCGTTTCGATCCCCAACTTACTGACGTAATATTCTTAAAGTAGCGGCTATAGAACGGCAGACAAGGTTTTTTTTTACTCAGAATAACATACACTTTCGTAATTTACAATCAAACCTTCGCCTGCGATGAGACTGATTTTTGGGCCCAGGCTCCAGGGCTATAAGATCCTTCACACAGTTTTATTTACACCTCAGTCGGAGAGGGCCAGATTAGTCCAAGATTAGAGTTTTTCCAGATTAGTTCCAGATTAGACCTCCAACGAAGGCTCACCATGGCCATGGCTTATAATTGAAAAAAAATATTGTTCTATAAATGACACTTCTGCTGTGAAATGACCTTTTTAAGAGAAAAAAAACGATGCAATAAATGTTTTAGTACCCCCCGTGTGTGAATAATTTGCTAAATTTCATATTTTTAAATAGTTTTTAATATTTTACCATGTAATCGAAGTAACATTCGCGTGCCGGATCCAGCCCGTAGTTTGGGGACTCCTGATCTAAGGGAAGAACGCAGAAGAGATTTATAGCTGTCTAATTATTTATAAACTGTATTTTCTGATATAATAAAACATCTAACCCGCATCACAGACATTTGCAGCGATTTTTTGAAGTTTCAAAATATGAAAACTGTAAATGAACATATTATGAATTTTATTTAGAATTTTAGTGGATATACTAATGGTTACCTGGATGAGACAAAGCTGTTAAAGAAATACTCGACGGCACTTGATGCCATACTGTAAACAGAAAAGACCTTATCACGAAGAGCTCTATGAAGAAGAAATACCGCTCCACGAGCTATCTTGTTACCCTCTAGGCCACCATTCCTTAATACTGACTCTAATGTTCGAACACCTTCTTCCTTGTCTGAGTACTGCCTCGAGTAAAACTTCTCAACCTGTATTTCACAAATAATGAAAAATTAAGTACTAAACTAGCAATATATCTTGAATTAACAGCAATAAATCTTAGAAAATATAATTCAATAATAATTTCAACTTTGTATTTATTTATTCTTGTTTTAAAAAAAAAATCATTCAAGGACAACACTTATAAGAAGTTATAAATGATAAATAAAATAATATAAACAGATTATAAAAAGTATTCATTTGAAAGTGGATTAAATTTAATTAGTTGAAGGAACATGTAATATTTACCACTATACTTCTTCTAGATGATGATTTAAATTTAATAATATCCAATAGGGTATAGTATGAACTTTTTATTCTTTTTTATTTAAATTTCATTTGAAATTTCGGTTTAAGACGAGCCCTTTATTTGTTGAGGGAAACAAATTTAACAGTCTTATTTTGAATTCATAGCCTTGTTGTCAACTGAAATCGTATCAATGAAGAGAATAATGGTTGGGGTGATCAGTCAGAAATAAGAAGGCAGAAATAAATAATAATATTTATTTTGACATTTGCCGACGTTTTGACCTAAAGTTCAGGCCGTCATCAGGGCTAAGAAATGAAATACTTTAAATTTTAATTTTACTATTTATTTTCATTCTTATATAACTTCATATTCATTTTTTCTGTTTTATATGTTATTTTAAGATTACCATTTTAATATTTATGTCACCTTTTTTGATTATGTTTACTTCATCATTCTACACTTTGTAACGGTTATTATTATTTATCTCTTAATTCTTACTATTGTCATTTTTCTACCCACTTCATTTTACTTTAATTTTTTTACCTACATTATTTATGTTTTCTCATACCTTGTTATCTGGTTCTTTTCTCAGCCCTGAAGAAGGCCTGAACTTCAGGTCGAAACGTCGGCAAATGTCAAAATAAATATTATTATTTATTTTTGCCTTCTTATTTCTGACTGATCACCCCAAACATTCTTCTCTTCATTATTCACGATAGTCAACCATTAACCCACAATTATAAAATTATATCAGAAGACATAGGCAATTATATTTGTTTTCCAAATTATAGAATTTTGGCACACATACATACATACATGCAAATGGCATAACGTTATACAGAAAGGGGTATCTTGTTTCCTCCGAAGATAATTAATAAAGACTGACAGTGAACACTCTGACGCTAACACGGATTTATTTCTCCCGATCTGCAATAGCTGTTAATGGAGGAATACCCAAGTAGCCTTGTTATTTCACCAGACCTATGTTGGGGTTTATGACATGGTTCACTCTTTTTATTCAATTGTATTAAGGAACTATCCATGTTCTGTGTAATGAAATAAAATATTTTTTCGATGGTTTCGTCTACTTTCTCTTTGGTCAAATTGTACTGCCCAAGGACACAAGCCAATACAAAGAAGCCAGTCTGTTTTAGTGGAAAAAACAAACAAAAAAACAATAGTAAGTTGTTAAAAGAATAGTAGATGCGGACTTGGATTCTGTTCATTTATTTTTTTTTTTTCAAGAAAAACTTTCTTTAGCGGCGAGAACGGTGTAGATTCTTTACGAAAAGTGGCGTTTTTTGCTAGTTCGAATTAACTGACAGAAAATTCCGGTACAAAGATGCGGTAACTTTCTCAATTATATGAACTGTTAATAATAATAATAATAAATAATAATAAGGCTTAGCGAACCCGAAGGTTCGATGCCGACACCACCAATCGCTTGTTACACACCTCCCTCCACCGTTCGCCGTCCAAACCCAGTCCCTTCAGATCAGCTTTAATGCAATCTTCCCACCTTCGCTTCGGTCTACCCCTCGGACGCTTACCATTCGGCACAGCAAATATTAACCTTTTAGGAATTCTCTCGTTACTAAGCCCAACAACTTTACAAGCCCATTTGATTCGCCGCGATGAAATTACCTCAATTATATTACCCGGATACAGCTCACGCAATTCGGCGTTGTGTAACCGTCTGAACTCTCCGGTTAACTCATCCTTCTTCGGTCCGAATATTCTACGCAATACTTTATTTTCAAAAACCTTAAGACGCTGCTCATCCCTTAATGTAAGCGGCCAAGTTTCGCATCCATAAAGAACTGTATGCAAGATAATTGTTTTATAGATTCTAATTTTTAAGTTCCGGGACAAGAGGCGCGAACTAAGTAGTTTTGTCACAGAAAAATAACAAGCATTTCCCGCCTTCAGTCTAACCTTAATCTCTTCTTCAATTTCGTTTTTTCTAGTTATCGTAGAACCTAGATACCTAAATTTATCTACCTGTTCAAACATATTACCATCTATATCGATATCACCAGTAGTATCGCCATTTTTGCAGCTAACCATATATTTTGTTTTATCCACGTTTATTTCGAGTCCTAATTCTTTACCGGCTTTCATTAACGTTGTCGTATTTAGTTTTATAGTTTCAACGTCTTCGCTTAACAGTACCAGATCATGAGCATAGCCTAGCACGGATGTTGTCTCGCCCAGATCCAACCCTTTCTCGGTTCGCATTACCTCCCTAATGGCATGTTCTAATGCCAAATTGAACAGGACAGGCGAAAGAGAATCCCCCTGTTTTAAGCCCGAACGAACCTCAAATTTTTCGGACAAATTATTACCGATTCTAACTTTATTGAGTGTCTCCGTCAAGCACATCCTGACTAGATTTACTAGTTTTTTTGGAATCCCCTGCTCGATTAGAATATTATACAGTTTCTGGCGGTCAATAGAATCGTAAGCCTTTTTAAAATCTATATACAGCTGGTGAACAATACCGTTATACTCCAATTTTTTCTCCAATATTTGCCGTAATGAAAATATTTGATCAATAGTCGAACGATTCCGTCTAAATCCGGATTGATAGTCTCCGATAATTTCCTCGGCGTATTCCGTGATTCGACTGGTTAAGATTAAAGTGAATATTTTATAACATACCGGAAGGAGTGAAATTCCTCGATAGTTATTACAATCCGTCCTCGGACCCTTTTTGTGAATCGGAATAAGAATAGATTCTTTCCATTCTTCAGGTAATTTCTCGTTCACCCAGATCTTTTTAACCAACCGATGTATTTTAGAAACTCCTGCTTCCCCGCATGCCTTAATTAGTTCAGTAGGAATATTATCGATTCCCGCTGCTTTATATGATTTTAATTTTCCGATAGCTACTTCAACTTCCTCTTTACTTGGTCCTTATATTAACGGTTCAGCACTCTGGTACTCAGAAGGAGGACACAGATCATAATTACCCGTATTTAAAATATTGTCAAAGTGGTCCTTAAACTTATTCAATATGTCAACCGGATCGGTCAGAATATTGTTATTATCATCCCTAATTCCAGACGTTACGGGCCCTACATATTTACGTGATCTGTTTATACCTTTGTACATGTCTCTTACGTTATTTTCGGTTCTATTAGTTTCTGTTTCAATTATTTTATTTTTAAGATACTCCCTTTTTTAATTTTTGAACAATTTTGTCGTTTCGTTCTTTGAGATTCGGAAGTATTCCAGATTGTCTTCGCTAGGATTATTTAGAGCTTTTAATTTAGCGGCTTTTCTTTTTTCGCACATGTTTAAGCAATCTTCACCAATCCACGGTTTGTTATTCTTATTTTCCTTTTTTCCTAGACACGAGTTACCGACCGCTTTAATATTATCCCTGATCTCTACCCATAACTTGTCAATATCCTCGTGGTCCTCGTCAGGAAGCTCTAAAGCTTCAAACCTATTCTTAACATCTAGCTCGAATTGGTTTCTAATTGATGGATTTATTAATTTTTCCAAATTAAAATTCTCAAAATCGAAACGGTTTTCTTTTCTCTTTTTTGTATTAAGTTTTTGTCGAAGTTTCGCTATTACTAATTCATGATCCGACCCACATTCTGCTCCGCGATAAGACCGTACATTGATTATACTGCTTTGCCAGCTGTGTTGTATCAAGACATGATCGATTTGATTTCGTGTTTGCGAATCCGGTGATGTCCAAGTATATTTATGAATATCCTTATGTTTAAACGTCGTACTTTTAATTATCAGGTTTTTCGAGATGGCAAAGTTTATCAGACGGATCCCATTATCATTACTATATTCGTGCAAACTTTCTTTACCAATCGTCGGAATATAAACTTCTTCCCTTCCTACATTTGCGTTCGCGTCTCCTACAATCATTTTCATGTAGTTTCGCGGTAGTTTATCATAAACCCATTCGAGTTTATCGTAAAATTCACTTTTGACGTCATCATCACTGTCTTCGGTCGGACAATGCATGTTTATTAATGCGATTTTAAACCAACGTCCCTGAAATGTAGCTACCGAAATTCTATCACTAAAGAATTGTACGTCCCTCAAAGCGGATAGTAATCTACTCCTAATTAGAAACCCAGTACCTAAACAATGATTCCCGCCTCCTCAAAAATAGTGTACTTTCCTTCCCTCATCGAGCCCTCCCCTGGCCAGCGAACCTCTTGCAGAGCCACGACATCCAAATTGTACCCATTTACCTCATTCGCGACCGATTTTAGTCCCCCTGCTGTGTTTAAACTCCTTACGTTCCACGTACCAATATTTAAATCCCTATATTTCAACTTGCGCCATGAATCCCCTAAAGCAGTCCCCACCCGGAGATCCGAACGGGGGACTAGTTTACCTCCGGATAATGAGCGTTTTACCTTAGGGAGATCCATGACTTTTTGTGGTGTTTGGTGAACTAAAGATATGTGAGTAGGACGTTCAATCCTACGTCACACCCTCCAGCAAGTCTGGTGGGCCCCTACTACCTCCAGCAAGTCTGGAGGTCCCCTCCCTCCAGCAAGTCTGGAGGTCCCCTCCCTCCAGCAAGTCTGGAGGGCCCCTCTCATTGTTGGTCAGCTAGTCCATCGGACTTAGCCGGGAGGAACTTCCAAGGAATTTCCACCGACCATCCCCACATCCGCCACCCGTGGGACGCTCCCCATACGCGGTAATGAGCCCGCGCGAGGTATGAACTGTTAATAATTTACCTTAATTAAAAATAAA